TTTATCTGAGAAGCAATACATTTCTCCAATATTTTAGAAATAAAATATAAGTTAGAGACAGGTCTGTAATTTCTAAAGAAACAAACAAACAAATATTAGGATCCAGTGTAGACTTTTTAATTAAAGGGGTAACATAAACTTGTTTGAAAACTTTGGGAATAGTAGAAGATGATATACAAGAATTAATAATATTGGTAAAAACTGAAATTACTTCGTCTAGACAGTCCTTAAGAGTAGGAGTCGGAACAGGATCTAGGAACAGACGATTTAATTAGCTTTCAAACGCATTAAAGTCAATAGGTTTATTTAAATCATCAAGTTCAGTTCGTGGTACCGTTTAAATTTAAAGGCAACATTCCATTAACAAACTTTTGAAGTAAAATAATCCCTCCAATGGCTATTTTGACTACTTTAAGAAAGGAAAACATTCTATCATCCAATCTACTTATCTGTAGTATGATTTGTTATTGCCACTTAATATAAATGGTGAAATTGTATGGGCGAAGGAGAGTTAATGCAATTTCAAAAGATTTACTGAAATATATGTCAGGATAATAGACACATCATGTGAAATGGCGATGGTTTTAGGTATTTTTAAACCGAAGCGTCTGGCTATGAAATTGATAAAACTATATTCACTATATTTTCACATCAATCTGTTGTTATACCTTATTTATAGCTCAAATTTTCCTTATTTCTTTCACTTCCACCTGATTATCAAAATTTAAAGATATGGCATTTTGTATGAAATGTAAATTTAAGCTGCAATGAATATTTTGATCAACCACAAAGTTTGAACTTGATCTAAATAGAAATTTTGTGTGCATAAGAGTGAACTACACTGGCGTGGACTTAAACTATAATTTCATCCAAATCCTAGCTCATATCATGCCGTAATTTTTTCATTTTGTATCAAATAACTCAACAAATATTGCGAGTATGGAGGTGAACAAAGCTTTCTAGGGAACGGTAAACTAGCCACATGAAGCCAAGTTTATCAGGGAACGATACAGACGCCCACATGAAGCCAAACTTTATTTACAACTGTGTGCCAAATGAAGGGAAGTTCTTCCAATTTTGATTTTCTTTACGGTATACACAAAATACTAATTGATTCTTTTCACTCATTCATAAAGACACAAATGATAAGTGAGAGTGATTTTCAATGTCAATTAATCTGATACTAATTAAATATTTGTGGTAGCGTCATATGGTATAACTTGGTTAACCCGTTTGTTTCCATAACCCCTACGTTCTTTCCAATGCATCTGGCGTTCATGGGGCTTAGAAAGCTAGAACTATTATAGTTGCTGTCGGAACGTTCTCTTAACTAACCAAGTCCTCTCACTGGTCCTGCATGCCCGTATTAAGCTGCAATATCAAAATACGCTCACACAACAGCTTTTTCTGGAAAGAATTAAATAGAAATAAACAACAGCTGATCCGAAAGAAAAAGTTTGATATTGACATGATTTGCCATGGAAACCTGTTTAAAACAACAGTGTATATCCCGTTTATAAGATATTCGGATGAGATGAGATGTGATGAGATGAAGGAAATCAGTAGTAATGATAGTATGGCGTTATTAATGGGGCTAACAGTTTAAAATATAAATAGACAATTAATCAAACCCCGATAATCGACGGACTTTTTCCATTTGTCTCGCGTTCTCTGATCTATACTTTAAATGTGTCACTTCCAATGTTGCAATCATGTTTTAGATGTTAGCCACCTTGTTTATTAAATAAACCAGTACAAATACATCACGTATCCGATGGCGTAAATATTAGCTTTTTTATGGATGCTTAGACGGCTGTGCCAATCTCTTAAGCTGGGTTATATAATCGGAAAGCTTACGAATTGACTTTTTACTTGTATGTTATTTTTTCAAATCCCATATGTAGAAAAATTTGTATGCTATATAGTGCGAAACTTATCCTATTTTAATCTGGTTTGGCTTTGTATTTGTTTGAACAATTATTTATTTATAGCTGATAACTTTAAGGGATACAAATTGTTATATAACCCAAAGAATATGATGTCTGCGATTACCACTATTCTGTTATCTAAAGATCAGGAAAGCGCCAAGTAAATCAATATTGATGTGGAAGAATTCTATGAGGACATCTTAAAGATGAATCCATTCTAATGAATAGTTTGTAATTATGAGGAATTTCATTGTGAAGTATTCATAAGGGACCCCGATTTTTATTTTACAACAAGCTATTAGATGTATTTCTAGATGAACTTATTGGAGTTCGGCGTGTAAGTTGTTGCTAATACACAGTAAATTTAGAATATCATTATAATACAATGACGAAAGCAAAGAGTCTTTTGTTGTTTTTTTTACCGATGACCCAGATGTCGTATCTGTCAGAATTAAAATTGCCTGAAAGACGTCAGTATTAAAAGGGTAATTAAAATACATAAATCACGTAGACAATTTTATGACATGTAAATTAAAACACCGCTCGCAAGTATGTGAACTTTCCGATTGAGGTTTACAGTTGTAGAGTAATGATATGTATTTATTTATACAAGTAATCCATGGGAGGCATTTGGTGATCGAGAAAGTCGTTTATTACTGAAACAATGCGTTGAAAACCACCCATTCTACGACAGTGTGGTGTTAGCTCGATTTTCGTTTTTCAATATTGATGAAGCTCGTTTTTCGACATTCGCCACTATCAAAAAACTTGGAGAAAGTGCAGTTTTTATGTGAATCCATTGCCCATGCTTCCTTATTTATGATATTTTTAGTTCGGTTTAGAACATTGATTTAATCAAATGTGTTTTGGAGACATTCTGTAGATATACATGATTAAAATCTGTATTTTTGAGATTCAAGCCTGAATGTCGAGAAACGAGTAGCTCGTTTTTCGACATTCGCCAATATAAAAAAACCCCATAAAGTGCAGTTTTTATGTGAATCCACAGCCCAGGCGTCCTCATTTATGATATCTTTAGTTAGGTTTAGAACACTGATTAAATCAAATAGGTTTTGGAAACATTCTGTAGATATACATGATTAAAATCTATATTTTTGAGATTCAAGCCTGAATATCGAGAATATAGCTCATTTTTCGTGATTTGCTAATATCAAAAAACAAGGAGAAAGAGCAGTTTTTATATGAATCCAATGCTCAGACATCATCATTTATGATATCTTTAGTTCGTTTTACAAAACTAATTTAATCAAATGTGTTTTGGAGACATTATGTAGATATACATCCATCAAATCTGCTTTTTAAGATTCAAGCCTGAATATCGAAAAACGAAAATGGAGGTAACTTCACACTGCCCATTCTACGATAATTTGAGTCTTTAAGTATGTAACCATCGATAACAATTAGATATAAAGAAACGAATTTGTTGCTCAAACATCTACTCCTCTTTTCATCACCTAAAATCATGTGGTAAGTCTTTGACTGAAAACAACGAGTTTTTACATACTGCAATTGGAATGAATACGCGAAATCAGAGTCCATATTTCGGACAAAAGTTATCGGATCTTCATTAAATCTGATAGAGACCCTCTTCATAATGACCTGTACACAAAGCCAAAATCAAACAAAAATCCATAAAGATGCATAGCCTATAGAGCGAGCAGACCTATGGACGAGAATGGTGATCACAATATACGCCCATTCATTGGAATGTATTATGTTTACTGATATAGTCAATTCACTTTAAATGGAAATTTACGATATATTCTTTCATGTTCAATGTCCATATTTGGGTAATTCTTGACGTCATTAAGGGTAATTGACCAATCACCTAACTAATGCCAGAAATTTATGCATATAAAAAGCAGGATCTTTCGCTAATCACATTGTAAATAATTTCACTATGTATATATAACATGTTAGTGTCTGCGATATCACCTCGGTGGAAGCGAACTGCGATATCACCTCGGTGGAAGCGAACTGCGATATCATACACACACACGCGACAGATCCGACATCGCTTGGGTTCTTTAGACCACCATTTGATTTTTAGACGCCCATGATCTGGTGGTTTCCTGAGTCCAGCCACGCTGGTTAGACTGGCGTGGAGAGAATAGCTTTTTATGCATACCACTGTTTAAACTGTTTAAACATGCATTATGCAAGAGGTAAATCTGCCTATTGCAGGTCTTTCTGTAGGCCTGAAATGTTTTCTAAAGTATTAATTAGACATTAATTAACTGATCCAGGCCTTAATCAACTCTCGATGGCGTCAGATTTCTCCGATATTAAATAGATTAGAATCGTTCAGCGATACTTTGATTTAATCAAATATGGAGGACCGAGACTTAGCTTCGATCAACCAGTACGGTGGTTGAAATTATTGCACACGTCTGTCAAACCTTCAAAGGCTAATATCATCGCTTGCAATAGAGTAATTTGAATGAAATTTTCAAATTATTCATTTTACATCATCTACTTTCGAACTATTATAGCAAGAATGGCTAGTTCTTTATCTAAATCTTACATAGTTGCAAGTTATAGTTCAATCTTCACGGCTCCATTGTTCTAGCCTCTTGTACAATCTGTCACAATTTCACAAGGAGAAATCAAGCTTGATATAATAGTTTTATGATAAAATTAGTAATAGCTGGAAAAATATTATGTCAGTGTATTTGTGTCTATTTGTATCTATTTGTATCAAGGAGAGCATTTCTGATTTTTAACAAAGCCATCAATCGCATTTTTGGCATTTGGTCGATTTGGCAATTGGGCAACACGGACTGGTCGCCATCACAGACGATAGACAGAGTAGGTCTGTAATAACATAATACTTATAGACGTTCGAATGGGCCTGCTTATATGTATAAAACAGTAGCGGATCTAGAAGCTGTGAATAGGGGGTGAGGCGGGGCGGTTTCAAATCTAGAGCGCCATCCCCTGTATACAATTATGTAATTGCCATATTCTGTAAGAGAGAAGAGCCCATACCCACCCCACCGACCCCACCACTATTCTGTTAGTATAATTCCTCGTTAAATTTTAATTTTTAAGGTTTACGAAAACTGGATTGTCCAGAGGATTGGTCAGAAGACAGCGAGAATGGGCGATGTTATCTTCATGTTCCGTCCTGTATAGAGAATTATACATTTGACGAATTAACCATGTTTTGTCAGGCTGTGTTAAATGCAGATATAGACTATGTCAATGGACGACTTTCGTGTATTGATGGTAAGTTATTCTTTGACTGTTTTTCTTCACGACTGTGTCTCTTTCCATTAAACATTTGGGGAAACAATATGTATGATTCTAACTGAGCTAGAATCTTCAAACTTCGTGTACGTGCTTATTTATTAGGCGAATGCCGTCGCGGAGATAAATCATTTCATTGGTCGATAACTTTTATGCTGATGTAGTCAAGGGTGATGAAGCTTTGTATAAGTTTGATAGAGTGAGCATTTTCTACATAGGTTATGCAGAGTTGTAACCAAATTTATTGGTTGAAACTTTGAAGCACGATGCCTTATGTTTTAATTAAGTTGGAGTTGTAGAACTTGGTGTATAGTTTCATTACTTCGGTGATGAACATTTGCTGCTAAGGCTAAGCGAATTCGGTTTTATCTTTGGAACATAACAGCTTTACATCTATATGGGGTAGAATGTTGAAACATGGTGTTGGCGAGATATAACCAAGTTGATTAGTTGAGACATTGGAACACATTGAGTGAGAGTAATGGAAGGGAACATTAGTACTTTGACTAGGCTAAGTAACGATGAGCGATTTGATTGATCAAAACTTTCGAACAGAATGTTCCAACTTGGTGTGTCTGTTCCCACTGCGAATGGCTTTACTGAGATGGATGATTAACATTTTCCGCTAAGATAAATCAGAGATAGGCGATTTGATTAGCGGAGGCTTTGGGACACGATAATTGACGGAGAGTGGCGACGACTTCATTTATAGCAAGTTAATTACACGCATGCTTATAATTTCCGACCACTTTCTATTCATACTAAACGTTAGTCTTATCGTCGTCAGATAGGTCTCTTAGTATCATATCCAGTCGATCTGAACTCATTACTTAGAGTTCTGTAGGATAGGGGCTGTGAGGTAACCATCCCCTTTTCAACACAGTGCTTGGCGTGAAAGTATGACGTCACACGAGTCTCAAAAGAGCTGCATCTTTTGGAAATGTACTGGAAGGTGTACCGGAACGTTGACGGTAATTGGTGTATTGATGTTTCCGCAATAATCGAATAATGGCCCATGGATGGTTACCCAACTATCGTGCCGTGAAATTTATCTCATTGACAAATGTACTTATTTGTATTCGAATGATACACACTTCATTGCTTTTACACAGCTAAGAGTTTCTGTTTCGCCAACTACAACTTGTAATTTGGTATTTTTTTTATTCCAGCACTAAATAAATGTCTTTTCCATTACAGAATCGGGAATATCTAGCAGCTTACTAGTTGATCTTTTGGAACCCAGATCAAGAAGTGTTTTGGAACCCAGATCTAGAAGTGTTTTGAGAAAACGAGGTAAAAACACGGTTGTTAATCAACCTTTACATGTTTGGTCACTGACAGGTTGAGGTCATTGGTTACAAGAATAATTTTTCGTCGACTCTCGCCCGAAACCAAAGAATGATATGACCAAGCACCCCCTTGCTTGAGATAGCTCCTGCCACTCACACTGGCGGTTATCAAAATGTAAAATGACGGTGATTTAGCCTCTTCTCGCGACCCTCCTACCCAAGACTACAATCTATAATATAAATACATGATAGTCGAATGTATGGAAATGTATTAAATACAAAAATTTAGTTTTATGGTGATTGAAAATCGTTATAAATATACGTAAAAATCAGCTGATTTAATCCAACGCGATAAAGGCTATATTAATAACAGATTTTAATGAAATTCAGCATTCCGTGATCGTAGTTACCCCCCCCCCCCCTCCCCGGACACAACAACACACACTCTCTCTTTCTCTTTTTGTTTTTCCAAGACATAGCTATGGCTATCTCGGTGGGTGTGTTGCGTGGTATCTTCATAGATCTGTCTACTCTGAACATGTAATTGCTGTAACTCCTAGTCTTACGTCATCTATCGTTGCTTGCCTGACAAAGGAATGTCATAGTTCTTAAATAATTATATTTATTGTGACAAAGATTAATTTGTCATTGATGACCACACTCTGTTTTCATTTGAACTTTAACTGACCGCTATTAATGATGTTATATTGAATGTTGTTGAAGCGGCCAGTGTTTGCAAAGCTTGACTTCTAATTATATTATCAGAAATTGAACTGCCCGGATAACTATATTTCTTTCTTTCAAAAATATATGTCTTAAGGAGAATTTTGTAAATAAATTCGTTGTATATCAAATGTAATAATATTGTGAATATATACCGATATATTTATTATGTTTAATTTTTATTCAAATGTCTGTTACTATAGCGTATAGCTATTTAAGATTTTCTATTTACATTAGTTTTTAATGAAGAGATCTTTAGCTAAAAACACGTATACTCGTATCGATTTTCGTCTGTTACGTTTTCATTTATATTAAAAGGGTGACTTTAAAAGTAATAGAGTAATTCTAAAATGTGACTGATTCCATTGTGACTGATTACAATTTCAAAAGTTATATTTGGCCAAAATAGAAAGATAACGCTTTTGGTGGGTCTGTCATTGAATCAAATGGCGTGGTATCGATTTCTTGCTTGTACATGACAAGGAGTAGGGCCACCTTTCCGAGTCCTCCGGTTTCCTCCCACTGCTAAAAACCCTACGCGCAAGGAAATTACTGGAGTAAAATTGAACCATATGTTAGTCTCGAAATGAGCTAGTTTGTGTCGAATGGACGTTAATCCCCCCCCCCTTTCAAAAAATAACAAACAAAAAGAAATAATAACAGAAATAAAAAGATTTACCGACCAACCAAGCAACCGTAAATATTAATTATTTTTTTTTCGGCCTTTATAATTTAATAAATTAAATTCATAAATCTATTTAATTGTTATTTAATCATATAAATCTATTTAATTGTTATTTAATCATATAAATCTATTTAATTGTTATTTAATCATATAAATCTATTTAATTGTTATTTAATCATATAAATATGGAAGTAATACTAATTAAATGATTACTTATTAAAGTGGGGGGGGGATTGGATGGCTGAATGGTTAGCGTGCGCGCGCTGTATCATAAAGTCTGTCATTGAGTCGACTGGCGTGGTTTCGAATCCCCGGTTGTACGTGGCAAGGAGTAGGGTCGCCTGTCCAACCTCGTGGGTTTTCTCCGGGTCCTCCGGTTTCCTCCCACTGCTAAAGACCCCTACGCGCAAGCGAATTATTAAAATAAAATTAAACCATATGTTAGTCCCGAAATGACCTAGTTTGTGTCGAGTGGACGTTAAACCCCATTTCTCTCTCTCTCTCTCTTATTAAAGTGGACGACTCCATTCTGCTACTCCGCGGAAGCGAACAACTTTACACATGCCCATGCTTCTTTGGGGCGATTTCAACTGAACCGCATATTAGGATGGTGTTTAGTTTCGTTCAGGTGAATGAAACATGGCCATTCAAACAATAGAAGCTGAAATTAGACCCACACTGTGGTAATTCAGATTTTTATACTTACTTGAAATACATGTTTATAACCCAAAGATCTTGGTTCCTTTCGATATTCATGCATATTGGATCGTAACTACAATTAAATGTATCGTTAAACCAAGACTCCTTACGCAAGTTTAAATAGGTTCAACACACAATTGTCAACACATATCATTACAGTTTGTATTGAAATAAGTAATTCTATCACAAATAGTGAAGACTGTCCCACTAAAATAGTTACCGAACAGTTTTTCTTTCTGGTTATGCGTTCTACATTTGCATAGCGATGTATCTTGTAATGTGAAAGCCGCCATGACACCGGCCAGTTGAAATATCTTTGGTAGTCGAGAAATTTCGCGTAACAGTTGGGTTTCATATCATATACTTATGCGGTAAGGCTTCACCTTTATTTCAATAGGAATTGGTTTATTATATGTTAAAGTAGCTAAGTCTCTAACTCAATATCATCCAAAATCTTCAACATTGAAAACACAAATTATTTGTCAATTTAAATCAACATTGATGCTGTGATCTTACCGGAAAAGATGGGCTTCTGATATCCAATATTTAAGACAGAATAAACATTTTACCATTGGTACACGAATCGTGTACCATAATGCGTTTCAGCCCCAGTTCTAGCAAGAGACTCTAGGAACGAGGCTAGACATATTGCACCAAACCAAACGGCGTATGTAGACTGGAATAACCAAGCGCTAGAAATTTGCATTCGATTCAGTCTGCTGGCTTATTTCGCGGAACATAACTGATTTGAAATTAGAGTAAAAACGGAAACCATTGAATGTATATCAGTTTATATACATTCATATTACAGTATTATATGAGTTCCGACCCACTTGTGTCAGTTTCTAGGTCCCAAATGTTAGCGATTTAGCTTCTTTAAGCTATGTGAAGTACAGTTTTGGGTCAGTTTATGTGTAAATTAAGGGAGCTATAGGCCAGTAACCTTTTTGTAGTCATTTGACTAAAAAAAACTTGCGCACAGGAACTCCGTAGGACGAGCCACTACTGTGGCTGGAGTAAGGCGGAAAACATCAGTGGTGGAACCATTTCTAATCCGATCGTAACTTCCTGTATTATGGCCCTTTATTTTCGTAACTCGTGGTTCCTCTAGAGGTCATAATTTTTATCCGATTTTAAAAAAAACCGTGTGAATATATCACCGTTGTACCCTAATGATCGTGAAAATCGGACCATAAATGCTAGATAAAATGGCCGCCCCTCGTACGCAAATAGTGCAAATATATGATATATCAAGGTTGTGGACCCTCTAGAGGCCACAATTTTGATCCGATTTTAATGAAACTTTAAATTTATTTTTATATCACAAAGATCTTGCTTCCTTTCGATAATCGCGCATATCCGAATGTAACTTTCTGGATTGTGGTCCCTGCTTGTTCGGAAAATCGCATTTTTAGCTTGTGGACCGACTAGAAGTCACAATTTGTATTCAATTTTAAAAACCGTTTAAATATATCACCGTTACACATCAATGAAGGTTGAGTTCGAATGTCTTAAAAATCTGAACCGAACTGCCCGACAAAATGGATGCTCTTTGTACGCAAATAATGTAAAAGTATGTAATACCAAGTTGTCGACCCTCTAGAAGTCACAATTTTCAATTGGTTTTGATGAAACTTAAATATATCTTTATATCTCAAATATCTAGTCCCTTTCGCTTTTTTAGATCATAACTTTCTGGATTATGGCCCCTGTTTTCTTTTAGCTTGTTCTCTATCCATCGTTTTGATTTTTTTTGAAATTTTGGATTGTTCTCTACAGTTTTCTTTCAAGGAAACTAGGATTATTACAATTTACAGCCCGTCCAATAGCAAATTGTGTCAAAAGTTTATGGAAGAATTTGGATTATTTCTGGACCAGTTAATGATGACCAAGTGTTGCACTATTATTTGGGGGGATTTTAATTGTCATGTTGATGATTCCAACGACTCTACCGCGGTTGATTTTTGTGATATGCTGATTAATAGATCTCTCATACAACATCTGGTGATAACTAATCTATGTGATATTAAACTGGATAATCTCTCTGCCTCGGACAAATTAATATCTGATCATTTCCCGGCAACTTTTAATCTTTTGATCCAGAAACCACAACCAACAAGAAAGACTGTAACATATCGAAGGTTTAAATCACTTGACACTAATAAATTTAAATCGGAAATCGTGAACTCGAATTTCAATGGCATTTAACGAATTCAAGATATACAAGAGAAGGCAACCCAATATCACCCAAAGCTTGCTGAAATTTTGGACTCGCTTGTTCCTCTTCAAACGAAAACATTTACTATTCGTCCCAATACGCAGTGGTTTAATGATTCTATTTTAGAAGCCAAAAGGGACCGTAATAATAATACGAACTGAACTTGATGATTTAAATAAAACTATTGACTATAACGCTCATGATTTTGATAAGTTAGAAAAATTCTGTTTATTTAGAAAATCTTAACTTGGTTAGCCAATCTTTTGTTTTAAAGCTAATTAAATCGTCTGCTCCCAAATCTTGTTCATTAGATCCTGTTCCGACTTCTGTTCTTAAGGACTGTCTAGACGAAGTTATTTCAGTTTTTACCAATATTATTAATTCTTGTATATCTTCCTCTACTATTCCCAACGTTTTCAAACAAGCTTATGTTACCCCTTTAATTAAAAAGTCTAAACTAGATCCTAATGTTTTTAAAAATTACAGGCCAGTCTCTAACTTAAGTTTTATTTCTAAAATATTGGAGAAATGTATTGCTTCTCAGATAAAGGCCCATCTAGATGATAACTGTTCGTATGAACCATTTCAAAGTGCTTATAAACCATTTCAAAGTGCTTATAAACAATTTCACAGTACCGAAACAGCTTTAACCCGGGTTTCAAATGATATTTTAATGGAAATTGATAATAGAAAATGTACATTTTTAATTTTATTAGATTTATTTGCTGCTTTCGACACGGTGGACCCTTCCATTCTTCTACGTAGACTTCAATTTAAATTCGGTATTTGTGGCTCTGCATTGAATCTTTTAGAAAGCTATCTTGTGGGTAGAAAACAGTGTATTTTACTTAATTACAAATCGTCGTCTGAATCTTTTTTGTCATCTGGGGTTCCCCAAGGTACTGTTCTTGTTCGATTTTATTTACCCTCTATACGTCACCATTAAATGATATTGTCAGAAAATATGGTCTCAGCTTTCATTTGTATGCCGATGATACTCAATTATATATTTCATTTACACCTAATTGGACATCTTCTTTCAATTTATCAAAATTGCAACTTGAGAACTGTATTAGTGAAATTAGAAACTGGATGTCAAAGAACTTTCTAAAATTGAATGATGATAAAACCGAATATTTGTTATTAGACTCAAGGCATTAATTAGGTAAATTTGCACATGATAACCCCCCTGTTGTAATTGGTAATTGTGATATATTTTCATCTTATTCTGCTCGTAATATCGGCGCAATCTTTGATAGTTTTATGCTTATGGGTGCTCAAGTAAATAATATTTGTAAATTGTGCTATTTTAATATCAGAAATATAGGTAAAATGCGTAAATGTGTAACTGTAGAGGCCACTAAGTCACTTGTTAATTCTCTGGTCACTTCTTGATTAGATAACTTTAATTCACTTTTAGTTGGTTTACCTTTAAAGCTTATAGATAAATTACAAAAAGTATAGAATACTGCGGCTAGACTTGTTACTTTAAAGATGCATTATGGGAGATTTTTATAAGCCATTCTTGCTATAATAGTTCAAAAATAGATGATGAAAGAAGAATATATTGAACATTTCAGTCAAATTACTTTATTCTGAACAAAGTTATCACTAGTGTAATTTTTGACTAGAAATGGGATTGAATTCCATCTTCACCGATTAGTGGTATGGCCCGTCGTTTGATTGACATACTCCACCTACATAATCTCTGCCGTCTTTTGTCTGCTGTCATCATATCCGAATTTGTGTTTTACCTTTTTGGATTTTTATAACAATTGGACAAAATGAGTGAGAGGGTAAATTTTCATTCTTACTTGTATTTTGGGCATGCATTAAATCAACTGAATACAGGACATTATATTATAATACAATTATGATAAATCTATAGGTATACACCAGTGGCGTCGTGCCTATTTGGGAAATAAAAATATTTTTATTGATATTATTAAGACAGAAGACCTGTCCGTCTGTATAAGTCATCCAGGAATTGTATAATTTGTCATTATCTGTGTTTAGTTTATTGCACTTTAAATAGTTTAGATGTCATTTGTTAAGGCATCGCTCAACAACGGCCTCGCTTCGTACACTCTATCATTTAGCCTCGATCCGGGAGTATGACGTCAACGTAACGATTAATCTCCACTCACGACGCCATTTAAAATTAAATCAGTCAACGAAACCCCGTTTAAATCCAAGCTGAATCCATGCCATCCGTGGGTCTACAGAGTTGATTTTGTGCTTGTTGTGTAAATAAATATCTAATTTATGATTTCTATGACATGTGAAGCCTAAATAAAGACTTGCAATAATCAGATTTAGCTCTTGCATAATGTATGTTTAACTAAGAAATGTGACCACATAACTCCTGTTTTATATAATTTACACTGGTTACCTGTTAAATATCGAATTGATTTTAAGATTTTATTACTTACTTTTAAATGTTTAAATAATTTAGCTCCTGTTTACCTCTCAGATCGTTTAGAACTTTATAAACCTGGCCGAACATTACGTACATCAGATAAACTACTTTTAAAGCCCAAAACTGTTCAACTAGTCTCTTATGGTCAGCGCTCTTTTACTTATCAAGCACCTGTTTTATGGAATAATCTACCATTTAGTTTAAGATGTTGTACATCTCTATATTCTTTTAAAAATCAACTTAAAACACATTTATTTAATCAGGCTTTTAACTGACTCTGTATACAATCGTTAACATGCCCATAATCTTGTTGTTTATGTGTGATTTACATTGTCACTTTGTAAAGTGCCCCTGAACATGTTTATATGAAAGGGTGCACTATAAATATGCTGTAATAATAATAATAATAATAATAATAATAATATCTTTCCTGGCATATGGTTCCATATGACATCAAATGAAAATAATCATATATATCAGTCTATTACATTGCACCAGTAATGTGTACAAATATTGGTGTCTGAAAAAATGCAACGTTATCTTAATTTATTTGATATAAAAAGTTGATTGATCGCCCCATCATACTGGGCTTGCGAGTTGCCAATACCCTTTCTAACCTCTGTCTGAGTTGTTTCACCTCTTACTGCCTTATTGGAGAATAATGAACCTAAGATAGCAGAGATAATTATATAATGGACTGATCATCTCAGGTTTAGGTTTCTGGATACAGTAGATGTCTCATTATTTAAAATTATCGACAAGCTTTCATTTATAAGCATGTCAAGGATGCTCATCATAATTAAACTGAGCTCTCTTCCTTAAATTTTGTGAGAAAACTGGCCATGACGTGTCCTGTCTACCGTACTTTTATAATAAAAACATGCATAGTAACTGTAACATGGGAACAATTTTACAACATTTTAATCATCGGTCCTACTGCCTTCAACTAAACTACCTATAGTGATATAAGGGCCATTATTTAAATACTGTATCCAAAACTTTAAAAGCTTTTTTTATAATATTGTTTATTTCAGTATTTGGTAATTCTGGTTTTGGGCGCTAAAGAAGACAAGGTTTTGGGACGTTTCACCGGTTTACAGCATTGAGACACATTCCGGTTATCACAAGACTGAACAATATGATGCACAATAAATGATAAAGGGGCAGTTGGTTTTTTTTTGTTTTTTGTGGGCTTCGTTCATTTCATTAGTTTAGTCCCAGATTATCTTGTGTACTTTTTATGTGCACTGAATTATTTTACAAATACGTAAGATCTGGATCGTGTGTGTTTATATCTAACTATAGACAATATGGAATTCCAAGTATATGTATTAACAACAGCCCGAATACTTGTCATGCCTGTAAATTTAGCAGTGTCTTGGACACATTCCTTACAAGGGACGTAAATATCAGTAAGGGACGTAAAACTTCATGTTTTTGTCATTGGACCTGTCTAAAAATCTCCAACATAAATTTAGCCTTTTGAACCCGAATTTCACAAAAACAATTTCTAAATCTAATTTAGTTTGTATATCGGGCCAAATGCCTAGGTAATTCATCCTGTACTCATAGAGACTGGTGGAAGCAAACACCAACTTCTCTTTTATTGAAACAAATGTGTGATAATTACATGCATTTGTATGGAAGTCTGTTCTTGTCACTTCATAATCGCGTTTTTATTCCTCGACTCTCTTGCGCTTGACAATCCCGCTATAATAAGCTATAGTAGGCCGGGCAAAATATCCCTCCCTCATATAGCACAGTGCCCTGTCTTATTATCCCGGTTGGTGCAGATTAAAGTAGGGATTAAAACCTCGACATTTCATTTATCTTAGCCATACCGTGTAGTCTTATAATTAAATTTTGAAAGTAACTTGACACATGTTAAAGGTACAGGCTCAATTAATTCTATCAACAATTCCCTTCAGAGTTTTATTAATACTCCAAAATTATCACGTGGACATATGGTCGCTCCTGTCCGTCCGTCCGTACTCATCAATTTTAGTGTGATTCAGATGAAACTTAACATATGTAATGAACCAAAACATCTCCAATGAATTTGATTTTGAGGTGCTTCGGACCTTCCGGTCTAGTGTTATGCACCCTTTTCCGAAAACCCTGTTAACGCGATAAAGTCTATTTAAAACATTTAATACAAGCATTTGGGTCATGAGGGGACTAACCTTATCGATAATCACTGTACCGCGACCCTTCGTTCCGGAATTGCCCCTCTTTGCCGCAAACGTTCTCAATGTGATAAAGGCTACAGTTGTTAACGAATTATTTCAACTTTGGTGTGTAGCAGTTCTCCGTCCATCTATTGCAAAATGTGAGTGTATTTTGCATCCGTCGTCCACAATTCCTTTCTCTCCACATTTATCATCTGTTCTCATTGTCAATTATCCATTAACGGTTCCATTTCGTTTTAAATTCGCAGAATATTCAGTGGGATGAGATCCATATCTAAATTCTGAATTTTTGACTGCAAATCGCAAATTTAACCCTGTGTTTACGTCACAATTATGAAATCTTGTAAGCCCATCATACGGTGGATACTATATATTGTTTACAAAATCAAAAAAATGCATTTTTATTAGACTATATGGCATTCGATGTTGTTCACAATTTTAAAACTAGAAAAACTTTGAATACACGGGTCATTCTATCAACATAAGCGTCCACTGCGCTGGATAGTCCCGGACCTGTAATAATACTGAATTACAAGAATAACGTAATATAAATAATACCACCGGTCGTGATGGTGGTCGCCTCCTGAATAGCGATCATCTATCAGTTAAAGTTATAAATCAGAGGATTTCTCACACTTGTGTAACAATTATTAGAATTAGACGTGTGAAAATGTTGCTCACTATCAAAACTTAAATACAAGTTAAAAGTTGGCACGATACCAACAAATACAGATGCCTCCATATATTTGGGCGAATATCTGCTGGAGCAAATGCACGTGCCCGTAACTGCAGTGTGGTCATTCAAGATTTTGTCATTTAGAGAAGTGGGTTCAACTTTTATTAGCAAACATATTTGAGATTGTGGATCACACCCATTGCCACGCACACCCTTTTATAGTTGAAACATGTTTCTACAAACAGCCGAAGAAATGGATTGGCGACTGGTTTGAAATTTTATTAAACATTAAAGACGTCACTACCAAAACAATATAGCAGCAGTTTAAGTGTATTGTCTGTGATTAACACAAGTGTATTTATGTATGGATAGCTCCACTACAACCGTATCTATTTACAAACGGTCACCCATTCATCATAGCTACAAGTTTTACACATAACGTAACAACACCAATAAAATTTACACTCACATCGTTCTGTTCTTTTTACTCGTAACGTATTATAGCCTCTACCACAACACAGCGTTTCACAATTATCAATTCCTATACTAGTTTTATTACACAGCCTTCCCGTAGTACCAGGAGAGTCGACCACAGGATTTGGGTCACAGAAGTTAGGCGATTTTTCGTAAAATAACAGTTCTAAATGTTTTGGACGACGTCCGTTGCGTTTTATTAACTTGGCATTGGCGCTGTTAGAGATATCAACCTGAAACACATCAATTAAACATATAATTAAACATATAATGTTGTCATAATAAATCATATATTAATTACAATTAACTTTTAAACTTGTACCAACTCTCACTGAAAACGTGCGTAGGTTTGGGTCACAAAGCAACACATAATACTGAACGTTGTTGTCGACATAAATCCAATTGTAGGCTGCTGTGTACGTCATACACATCCAAAACTTAGACTGCCTGTCTACAGCTAGCTTCGCCTGAGAACAGGCCCTAAGCTAATTACCCGACATTTTAATTCCTACATCGACGATTTTAGTCGAAAACAGTGAGTATGCTTTTAGTAATTTTTAGAAGTATTTATTTCTCTTCTATTGTCATATTGAATGAAATTAAATATGTTTATTTAGCCGCTGTGTGTATGAAAGATGTCAAACTAATCAAAGCCGAATCACAAAATAGTCATCTAATTATTCAATATGGCGGCGCCCATAAAAGGTAATTTCCCAGAGGCGGTTTTGTTTGCGAAGACCAATTAGGAGTATCTAACCTTGTTTTGAAAGATAAACAGATTGAAACTCTAAAGACAGTTTACAATGGCAAAGAATGTATTGCAATATTGCCCACTAGCACATATTATATATCGCTTTTACCGGAGTGGCAGAAGTTGGCATGTGTTTACATAAAACACGTGCTTGATCGGGTTATTTTTACTCTGTTGTGTACACAAAGCTGCCGTCTAGTCGATAAGTCCCGCCCCAAAATGATCACGTGAGCCTTTTAAATGGCGGCTAACTAGGGCAGTGATCATAATGACGGATAATGGATCGCTGCGTGCAGTTTGTATCATACATTGAAACAACGTAAGGAAGTTTGACTCATGCGTAAATATCAACCGTGTTTTACAGAGTTGTCTACCCGTTTACACTTTTATTGTTAACACAAGACACGATCAGGACCTCAGTGACATAAAGCCAAACAATAAAGAAATTTAGAATTTTATCTCTGTCAATGTCGGCGCTATTTCCATATTTCCGTTTAGAGTTGCTCGCCCGGGATGATTTTGTTTCTAATTGTTTGTACCACGTTGCTCCATATACGATAGAACGCGTACAATTGGGTAAAGAAATGGACTTGACAATTTAATGAGGATAATATATGGTGGTCTGTATCCAGATTCGAGGTTAGTGTTATCTACCTTTATTCAGTCATTTACACAAGAGAGTGTCAACAATCTGTCTCTAAAGCATTACTTTACAGTGAATTTCCAAATAAAAAATAAAGACGGATTACTATTGCCTTTCAAACTTGTTTGAAAACATAAAATAGTGACAAATTATAGACATGCCTATATTGTTGTCGATGGTATATTTATATTTATTTAATACATCATGGGCACTACACATGCTTAAAATGTAGAATTTACTACCTGTACCTGTGTCGCCGCCTCATATTTTCGTTTTAAAATAGCACCTACAGCCCGGAAATCAGGTGCAGCTTTCCAGCACGTCTTTAATTCACAACTTCCGGACATCCCATGACATTTACACAGTTTCTTTACGTGACGAATCACGGCCTAAAATATTCATCAAGATACATAAGAGGATATGACAGAGGACACATAGCGCCAGATTAAGACCAATAGAGGCCCATAGAACTTAACAGATTTCATTGCCCCATATAGGTCTATATGTAATTCTATATATAAACTATAATAAACCATAAAGGTCTATATGTAATTCCATATAGGTCTTTATTTTATGATCAGTAGTGGAATACCGTGTTTTATCAGTGAAATAAAAGTGTTATTCCACTGGCTAGCAGTAGTCCATGTTGTTTTTACCTCAAATGATTGTAAAATCATAAAAAAATAGAACATTTGTCGTTTTGTCGTGAATAACACATTTTATTTCATCTCTAAGCAAAAAAACGTTTATATGTTCACTCATGCCACGCATTCGTGAAAATATAAGTTTTCTTGCTTAGAGATGAAATAAAATGTGTTATTCACTCTAAAACGACAAATATCCTCTAATTATGTAATTCCATATATAATCTATAATAAACATAAAATAAATTTGTATTTTTAAAAACACGTCATAATGAACTGAGACAAAACAGGCAACATAACGGAGGGGAAAACAATAAAAAAAACTCATTAAAAGTTCTTAATTCATTTTTTTAAATTTGTCACCTAACAAAGCAATTGGTGCCCCCCCCCCACCACCACCACCCTCCTAAACACGTTCTATATTTTGTTACTTTTGCGACCATCTTATATTTAAATAAAAACATAAATTATACCATTTAACACATGCACTGTATTTGACATAAGGATTTCGTTTTGTTCAATATTTAGGATTGTACTCCAGTATCAGACCCCTGTATCAGACTCCAGTATCAGACCCCTGTATCAGACACATATTATGCTATTTACACACTTACCAACCGCCCTGCCCGGTTATTATGTAGGTTAATTTGTGAATGAATATCTTTAGCGACTTCTTTGGAATCCATAAATCTTCTTGCATATCTGGAGCCAAATTCTATATTATGACTACATCCACCCCATTCAAAGTTTTTGTCATTTCCGTAAACACTCATATCACAGCCGCATGATTTTAATTTGCCCATACTACAGGCTTTAGATACTTGATGTGTCACTCCTGCGGCAGATATAGCATAGGCAAACGATGTTTCTTTAAACCCTGAAACAGAAATATAATCGTAGGATAAAAACGCAGATCTGCTCATTGACTGTAAAAGAGTGTTCCTGGACATTTTATGTAATTTGAAATGAAAAAGAAAATTAAAAAATTGAACATTTAGGCTCCGCTCTAAAATCGAATATTTTGGATAGCATTAAATGTGGTTTAACGTCCTATTTGTTTGCTCACGGACTGGGTCAATGAAAGCAGAATAAGTATTATGTTGGAGATAGTAGACATGGTACCACCTTTCAAACAATCAACATATCAACACGTTTTCACCCCTGAACGTTGAACCTTAGAATAGTTCAACTCGGCCCTATTACTAACGTCTACCACTTATTTTACGTTACGTTTTGTAAAGAAACCGTTATTGACAGGTATACTACACGTTGTAGAGCATGCTTTATCTATCTATTGCATCATTTGGCAGTTATTTGGGAAGTGCCTATATGTAACAATTTATCTTGTAGCTTTTTTAAATTGGTAGAATTATTTCTTTTTCATTTATCTTTGAAACTAGCTACTGCATATCTATTTTAAGACTGCCTTGTTCTGACACGTATTCAATTTTAATCCATATTAAATAATGAACTGAAAGACTCAAAAACATGTGTCTCACCGCTATGTGAATCTATCTGTTTTAAGTGCGATGGGTGCGACAAAACAAATCATCAGTGTTGCCCACAAATAATATAAATACAACTGCTACTACGGTTTCATATCAAAGAAGTCCTTGTGAAAACAAAATGGCGAGTGCAAAACTCACCAAGCATTTCAAACCCGATGCCCCCCAAATTAAATGCCTAGAGTGCGATAGCCATTTAGCCTTCAGCAGTTTCCTTGAACAAAAATATAAAATCATTAGATTTATCAACTAGACATATTGTAATACAGGGTAGATAGTTGTCTCGATTTGAGTTGATAAGGCTCTAGGGGTAACGGTCGAAGATCAAGGCAGAAACTATCGACAACCTGTTATAGTAATTTAAATCTTTATATATCTCTCGTCCAAATCTGTTTCTACTTCCACACATGCAATGGGATACAGGTGATTGAAGGCGGAGAACATTTCGTTCCGTTTTTTGTTTGTGTTGGGCCTCTTATTTAGAACCAGCTGTGTCTCGAAAACAAGACTAAACAACCCGTTTCTGATAGAGATTTCCTATCTGATAGCTTCCTTCCTTTTCTCATTTTCCTAGACGGAAACAATCAACACCCATTCACATTTATGACTAACCCGCTTTGGATCTCGCGTGGGTACCAGAAAGGAAATATTTAAGATCCGCAAAAGTCGGCGATCGTCTTCCTGGTTCGATTCTGTATCGATGAGTGAAATGGGACTGTTTGTATTTTAAATAAACGAGTTCCATAATATATTATTTACCTGGACAGAAACGTCTGAGAAATGGGTTTATTGCATATAGCTAGATGATTAGTAACCATCTGGTAATGAAAGAATCCGTGCAAGTACCTGCTATTTTGACGTAAGTTAGGATACTTGAGATAGTTTATTTGTATCAATGAATACTGCCATTATGACGTGTTTACTGCAACACGTGGCCGTGTTTTTACGTCAGCAGTTTTAAGTAGTATTCAACTAGAAGGAACAGACCAATGTAGTAGGATATTGGCTTTAGTCAACACTATACAATACTGTAATGTGGTCCTATATTGCCGGTACCCCTTTTCGCACCTTCGTGTTCGAGAGAGAACAATTGTTATATTCACAAGGATTCCTCTTAATTGATAATTTAATTATATTCAAAACACATGCAGCATGTCCTGTCTCCCTGGTTACAGCATGGCCTGTCTCCCTGGTTACAGTGTGGTCATCTGGTTATTTAGTTATTACCCCAAATTAATTTATCCAGTCCCTGTATCGGAATTTAATTCAACATGCTCCGAGAGTTCAAGAAATAGAAAACAGTCAGTTCTATAAATAGCGTTTCATATAACTTTTTCGATGAGTTATACAGAAAGTGTGGTGGGGTTGACCGTAATAAAAGTCCATTATGACAGCGATCAACACTTCAACAATAATTAAGAGTGTATCCGCGAGAAGACCATGCAAAAATCGCAAAAAGTGCTAAGATGAGGGGTCGGAAGTTTTTGATCAAACTTATGGTATGACACCCCCTAGGGGCAAGAGGTAACATGCTGAAGTGGTTACAGTCTGATGTCGCTCTAAAGGACTGTACAGGAATTGTTCATTTTATGGGTAAAATTGCGGTTTTCACATGTGTATTTATCACCTTTTTTAAGCACAGACTGCATTCTATGGTGGAATAGCAACCTTCTAATTTTGACCCTGTCTGATAAAGCGGGTGGTCAACTTCTATCCCAGCATTTATTTGAAAAAAAAAATCAGTACATACTAATTTTGTGTGGACTTGTTTTAGGGTACCATATTCACATTGTCCTTATAGTGCAGAAAAAGATACACTGTAACTTTTTCTTTCATGGTCGCAAGTAGAATTTCTTTGGATGGTTTTGAAGTGCTACGCACATAGCATCCATAGGTGTAAAAAAAATGACCGGAATGCAACATACTTAAAATATACAACTTATTGAAAAGTGCTAACAAAAAGCTTTTGTGATACATTTTTTGGCGAATTTAATTAGAGAAATAAAATTTTTGACTTTTATACGTTTTCATCATATCCATAGCCATTATTTGTACCATGTTGTACTTTATATAAGTGTGTATTTGTATTTATTGTATATTTGGTATTGTCGTATTGTCCCTTTAACATATTTGTTGTATTGTCTCTTTAAGATTTCATTTTCAAAAACAAGTTACCGAAAATGGCTACAAAATGTTTAATTTCAGAGCATGTTTCCACTATTCATTTTGGGACACATCCACTAATTTCTACAATACAGAAATGTGGAAGCTTAAATATTAACGGCAACGAAGCCTAATTGCGTCGAAGTGGGTGACATTGAACAGTGTAGTATGGTAGCTACAGCTCTCGGGCACCGTCAGCTGCACCTTCAGGGCCGGATTTAGAATAAGAGAGGCCCTAGGCAAACCCCCTGAACAGGGCCCACGACATGGACCTTGGGGCCCTGGGACAAGCAACTCGGTGATTGGGTGGGTCGGGAGAAGTCATGCGGTTGGTGGTTCGAATCTCACTTTTAGGTGAATTTTTCATTTTCGTTAGATTATTTTATGTAAAATAATGTCTATTTGAGAGTAATAGATATGTTTGTTAAGATTGAGCACGTCGAAACTCCAATGGAAGGTCGTGGACAACTGCAGAAGTCAATTTACCGTTGACGCCAGATGAGCCATGAACGATTACAGGCCTTTGAAAGTATTTTTTTTCAAGATATTTTTATAAAACAGATACTAATGTATTTTAGGGCTGGTAGTAAGCACCATATGAATGAAAAGGAAAATAAATTGTTAGTTTTTTTCATCTCCAAGTTTAATTATCTCCAAAATAGGGAAATTACAGGTTAATTTCATGGGTTATTGTTTCCTTTACCTAGTTTTTGTCAAGTCGATTCCGGTCATTTTTATTTTTTGTATCAAATGTTGGGAGGTTGCTTGTTCACGTGAGCATACATTTTTTAAACCCACCCCATGAAAGAAGTAGCTATAGGGCGTGAAACTTTGGGTGACGAAAAATGGGGAATTTAGACAGGCTTTGATATCCAGTCCGTATACAGATCTCGTTCGCAAGAATCGTCTGAAGTTAATATTGTGGTAACAGCACTGAGTCATCGATAAACTGTGTGAGTTTGGTCTTTCTGCTACGTATAGTAAAGGTGTAAGGACTTGCCAAAGTTGGTATTTGAGAAAAGACAGATTTTGGCAATTTCACCATATGAAAAATGTTTTTTCAATTTTCTCATACAGGAATTGAAAGATTTATCTAATATTGCACATTTATGTGTTTTGGGACTATCCCAACTTATAAACCAAATTTGGTCAAAATGTGATTGAAGCCTTAGCACCTTCTGCATGGTTTTCTCGCGGACACGCTCTTAAGAGAGAAACTCTGATCAGTTTTAATGAACAGTAGGAAAATATCTTATTTTCTACAACTTATTACAAGAGGGAGGATTCGTCATTATTTCTTTATTTCTTCACATACGATTATTACAATAAATACCCGAGTACACAAATATATTTTAGAAAGCCAAAAGTCAGGATTTTTGCCGCCAATTTTATTCGAACTTTTTACCGAGCTTTAGCTGTACAGTTGTTTTCAATGCTCTCCTCCCACTTTGAGGGTTATGTTTCTGGTTAGCAAGTTTTGAATTGAATTTATTGAACCAGTATATACCAAGTTAAACATTCTAGACTTCAGAGTAAGCACAAGTTAGTAATTCTTTTTGCTTCATGACCTGCTGGGATACAATATGCTTTAATTTTCAGCATAATTCGGCCAAACGTCATCACTAAATTACAGGATGACATTAAGCAATGACTGAACACTTTAAACCTTCCGAATTCTGAGTGGTGTTAATACAACAAGATTTGTTAGCTATCTGGCGTTCCTAGCTACTGGCCATTACTCAAGCAAGGACCAGGAGGAGATGGAATAACGTCAAGGATGAGACGGAATATCGGGTAAATGGATGTTTGATTTTATCTTACCTTTAGATAAGAGAGGACTAGAATGAGGATTTTTATTTTTTCTTTCGAGAGATGAACAATTCCATCGGTACTCAGTCAGCTGAAATTGACATTCATGGATAGCTATTTGTACTCCTTGAATAGCCGAAGCTGTAACATCCGGATAGGTTCGGCATAAATCGTACTGTTTTTCAGATAAGTCTGGGTATGTCTTGCACACCGTATTGGGATCGAGCTTAGGTAGTCTTGGTATGTTCAGCCGTAGTATATTATTAGATATACATCTGTAAATAATGAATGATTCATAGTAAACATTGACAATATTTGGAATGGTTATTTATAAAATCTTTATAAGAAAGGTGACTTAGCTTTACTTCCAAACGAAAATTTGTTATTATACAATATAGACAGTATCGTGTATAAAGGGGATTCTGAAATGGAATGAAATGAAATGAAATGGGGTTTAAGAGTCTACTTTTCTGCATCAACCCGCGCTATGCTGTGTGTTATGAGGGAAATTTTTTTCTCGGATAGTGGCGTTTCCGCCTACTCAACAACGTATTCCTAATGTCAGGTCAACACAGGGATCGAACAACGGACCGACGTGTCTCCCTTTTTATAGTAACACCCAGCGAATTAAATAATAATAGTTACAGTAGTATCCGTGATGTTCAAATTAAATATGGGTTTAAAGAATATGAAACATATCTGTCTGAGCTATAGGCCATTTCACTTTTATTCTTGTGTGGTTTTCAAGGAGTGACAAATACTTTAGTCATAAAATTGGTCATTGCTTGGATTTTCGATGATAATTCGAGTCTAAGATTACTTTCAATAAAGACAGTGATAATGTTCTTTGATATTATTTTTAATGTTTTTGAATATATACACCCAAATAAACATCGAAATTATCTAAGAAAAGGGTGATTATGTTTGATAAATTAAGTTTTAATGGAGTATTGTGTGTGTTTAATGTAGTCTCAGAATTAAGAAATGTAAATTATTGCATGTGCATATTATAGTATGCTTACCTTAAATTTGGCAGAAATGCCAAAAGAAAAACAATTAGATGGAGGAGCATTTTAACTCTGAAACAGATTATGAATCCAAACTTCCTTTTTATCCATTACAAAAACCAGCTTTGGACTATTATATATATTTGTTATTTCCATTGAAGACAGCACAGATCAAGATCATATTTCCTTTACAACAATTACAAAGGTATATTAAACCAACAAATACATATTACAAACAGGTCTTCTAGAAGCTTATTTATCACTTTCTGCGTGTTCCTACTTTCCAATGAAAAACTATGATTAATTTAGTAATTACTGAATGGCTGGTTAACACAACGGCACATAAGCAGTTGGTTTTAGTCTACATTCAACACATACTGTCTTCTTTTCGTTTGATGAAAAACTATGGTCGTAAATTATATCCTCCAGTTAGTCCAACAGATGTATATAATCTACTCGTCGAGATACATCCACCTCTTCCGGTTCATGTAATTTTTGTATTCTGGAAAGAAATGGAGCTTTATATATATATACATGTATATAAAATAGTCATGCAGAAAATGATACATTTACTTTAAGGGCAAGGGCAGTGTTATTAATAGACATGCTTAATTCTTTTTTCTATTAAGTCAAACGAACACATAAAACAAAGTATGTTTCACTTAAAATTGAGAAATTTTCTCTTTAAGTTCTCAATATATTTAAAAATGAAGGAGTGCAGCTTTAGATTTTCCTTTGATATCAAAGAAGATAAAAGTAAAGGGAAGGGCGAGTGGGAATCCTGGTATCCATTACACACACAAATGCACGCGCACCCCAACTACGTGTTTATTAGATTCATATTCAAATATACACAATATTTGTAAAACCAAAACTCAAAGAGATAAAAATTCATCGAATTTTGATCAATATTTTATGAGATACAATTGGTTTTATTAATTTTTTTAATTGCTATGGTTACGTCATATTTAGTGAAGCGTGGTTATATTACATCGATAATTCACACATGGCAAGACGTTTGGATACTGACCGAAAACTGGAATAGAATATTTATTAAATCCTAGCAATACCTTGACCTGATCTTTAAACAGGTAGAACTTGGGTCCATTGTGACTATAGATAGATTAACATTGTAATGAGAGACCGCTCATATGTTTTAAATGCCGATTTTAAATGTTTTTTCTATCATGCTCCTTTGCCAAATTTTCAAAAAGTGTGTTTGTATATATTTGATATTGCGTAAGCTTATAGGAACAAGATTAAGATCACAAAGAAAGGTTGCTGTTTATTCCACGTTGTATAATTAAAATACGAGACATATTTTAACAAAACACATTAAAGGAGCTAAATCGCTAATATTTGGGATCTAGAAATTGACACAAATGGATCGCAACGCATATAATAATGTAATATGAATGTATATAAACGGATTTACATTCAATCGTTTCTGTTTTTACTGTAATTTCTAATCAGTTACGTTCGGCGAAATACGCCAGAAGCCTCAATTGAAGACAATCTTTAGCGTCTGGTTATTCCAGTCTAAACCGATGGTATTTATTGCGCATGCGCTCCAGATAAGAATATAGCGTCACCATTTGACATGACTTGTGGAATATGTCTAGCCTCGTTCTTTGAGTCGCTTGTTCCAAATGGCACTGAAACGCATTATGATACACGATAATTCAGGTAAGAAATGAAATGAAATGAAATGGGGTTTAACGTCCTACTGCTCTGCTCCGTACTGGGATAATGAAGACGTGCATACACCATACAGTGTGCTACGAAGGAAATTTTGCCCGGACAGCGGCACTACGGCCTACTCTTAAATCGAATTCCAACTGCCAAGGGATCTTTTAAGTGCAAGCCAATGTGTACACGGAACCTCGGTTTTTCGTTCCATCCGAACGACTAGACAGCTGTCCTTGTCAGGCCCTCGTAATTCAGGTAAGACAACGATAAAAGGGTTAAGAGATAGGTATTATTCGGCTATGTTATTGCACAAAATAAAATAAGCCATATAAGAAATACAAACATGGTATGTTGAAGAAATGGAAATTAAGGAAGAAACAGATATTATTCAACAACATCATTACACAAAATATAATCAACTGTATACTTGCAAGAAATGTCAAACATGGTATGTTGAAGAAATGGAAGTTTCGAAATTTCTTTTAAAATACGTTCCACGCTAGGCAGTGCATTTAAAATAAGATTTTATTCTGGAAGAAATATTTCTTTTATCGTGACATAGAGTTTTACAATCTGGTAAATATCGACATTAAATTTACTGTTAATTATATTAATATCCAATTCAAGAACAAATGCAGTTATTGTGTCAGAATTTTCTGCATTTAATATTAATTTACAGGGACATATTTCACCTTTTTACCTGTTGAAAGTTGCGTTATCATTGATAAGGTATAGTTTAGACTTTTTTGCTACGTTATAATCAGTTTTTGTTTATGTTCCCGAAAGCAGAATTTATATTTATATAAATGTGCATTAGCCATGAATGGGCTGTAGTGTCAGTATTCCGACGTTTAATAACCCTTTTAGCCCCTTGTCCGTAAATGGTCATTAAATTTCTGCCTTTTGCAAAAGCGCCATTGAAAGCTTTATGAACAAACCAATGTAAATTATGTTTGAGATGTGACTGTTAAAGAAGAGTATATAACTATTGATTTAGTACACAATGGGTTTGAGATGTGACTGTTAAAGAAGAGTATATAACTACTGATTTAGCACTATATCTATGATACACAATGGGATTGGTTTTATTAATAATATAAAAACTGTTAATGCCGGGATTCACGTGTGTTTTTATTATTTGGTTATTGTTGGATTGTTAGAAGTGGTGTCAACAAACTTTAACCTATCTATACCTCATACACATTGAAAAAAACATTATTCTGGTAGCAGGCATTTTTACAACCCAGGCAAATCTAACCCTAGAATTATGTTAAATGTTGAAAATGTACTACTACTTGTTAGTTGTGTTTTACGTCCGCTTCCACCGAGGTGATATCGCAGACAAGTTGAAAATGTATTTTAATATGATTATTTAAACGAAAGCCGGTGATTGGTATAAATAATAGTCTGTGAGTATTATATAATAATAATGATGTCGACTTACCTGTAACATCGTTAGATGTGTTTGTTATATACTCAATAGGATACATGTATATATATATATATATATATATATATATATATATATATATATATATATGTCACGCCAAAACGACAATCCTTTACGTCTATTAGTGAATATTTGGTTACATCGGAAGTGATAAACTTTAACCGGTGTTGAATCTATAGTGTTGAAGTAGTAAATCCTATCTGGTAATCTGGGCAATGTAATAAGCCGTCAATCTACAAAACAATGGATCAAAGAGTGACAACAAAAACTTACAATTTCAGTTAACATGGCGCGACGGAAATCTGACCCTTTTAGCCCACACTTATCAAACCAGTCAACATTACAAAGACAACAACATATTATTTTACTATTTTTAGGGTTGAATAAGATTTAGAAATTATAACATTAGAATATTGAGCTGTTTTGTTCAATCGTCTTGATGTTCTCACAGTAAGATCATTTCACTTTAAACAGAAATAACAATCAAGTCCTTACATGAAGGAATTACTGGTAGAAAACAGGACAAAGATCTGGCTCCACGTTCACAAGTTAAGAATTTACTCAGTTTTCAATCACTGTTTATGAGAAATATCTTTGATCCAGAAACACAAAACTTTACACATAGTTTCTTACTGATGTATTTGATACATTAAATGGCTATATTTTAGTTAAAATAAGTTGTTTTATCATAATAAATACTGGTAATTGTTTTATAATAGGCCTACACGAGAAATAAAATTATTACATGGTAGGCTTTAAAACACATTTTTGGCAGAATAAATATTTAAGTTGGCGAAAAAAAAAAATGAACATTTTGTTATATAAAAATTATTATCCTGAATTCCATTGACGAAAAAGAAATTTTTTTTAAAAGATATTTAAAGCATTTATGTGAATTGATGAACGACGTGGTGTTGAGATGAGTCGGATACAACTGACTGTAAACTATAAAGAACATATGAATGACTAGCACATGGCCAAACAGTAACACTCTAAATAAATGATAGCAGCAACTCTGATATGGACTGTTCGTGGTATGACCATCACCATATGGCTTATTACATCTCTTGACCTCAAGTAACATATAGATCGTTTGACTAATTAATACTTGTAAATCGTAAAACATTTTCATAATAATATGTAAATCGATTGTTTCTACATGCCAATGTGGACTATAAATTGTTATATTATTATGAAACTTGACAGCGCCATTCGCGCCTGCGTTTTCCACACGTTTTTAAGTATTATTATTATTATTATCATAAATAGGTAAAGATAAAATGAAGTATTTACATCAACCGTTTTTATTAATAATCAGTGTTTATTTTCAAATAGTCTGGAACATAGTGTTATCTACTTAATAACACTTTATTAGTATGTTAAGGAACTACTGAAGCACAACCAACAGATTTTACCGTCACTTTCTTTATTTTCCTTGTCCAATGATTATTTGTCGATATGGCTGTCTTGTTTTAGGAAAGGACGAAATAAATAAACCAACCAAGAATTTTTATCATGGATGTATGGGCGGGTGGTCTAGCCTACCAGATTTAACTATCACCATTACAAAATTAACCGGATCAATTTCTGCCTAACATAAAATTACAGTGTCTGGATATCATTTACTTGTTTTTACACGAACGCAAGTCATGACCGACATTCACAATTACTTCAGAAGAAAAATGGATAACTTTAAACACAAAAAAGCCTGTGACTATGGTAATCCGATTTTTATTCTAACACTCGCTAACAGAAGAACGGGTATAGTTGAGTAAAAAAAAAAATAAAAAAAAAGATTTTTTAGATTATATTATTTTGCTTTTCTAGCACTTTTTTCAATAAATATTTTCATAATATAAAGTTACAATATATGATATAAAATTCTTCCCCATATAAATACTTTGTTTAAAATTATAATCATAAAATATATGACGATTTCAATTACAAAGAAATTTTTTTTACTTTCCACGTTGCAATTAATGAGAAACGTATCGTCATTTACATAAGTAAGTATAAGTTAATCTAGAATATTTAACGAGTGTGCCAACTTTAATTTGTATGGCGAGGAAATTATATAAGCTTCGGCCTGTTTTCTATTCCATTACAAGATTGTTGTAAATATTCTTTATGTACTTGAAGAATAAAAATATTGTTTAAACCAACTTTAATTTGTGGCCAGAGGAGAGAGTTAAAAATATTGTTTAAACCAACTTTAATTTGTGGCCAGAGGAGAGAGTTAAAAATATACATTCCAAAAGGGGTAAATGTCTTGAGATTGTATTTGATATTTGTCATCATTAGAATCGGTATCGGGGCGTAACAGGTATCATCAACCAAAATACTACTAGAGCACAGCTGGTATCATCGGCGGCAAGGGCGTAACAGGTATCAGTAGCTAAAATGCTATCAGAACACAGCTGGTATCATCGGACGCCAGGGCGTAACAGTTATCATCAACCAAAATACCACCAGAGCACAGCTGGTATCATCGGCCACCAGGGCGTAACAGGTATCATTAGCCAAAATGCTATCAGAACGCAGCTGGTATCATCGGCCGCCAAGGCGTAACAGGTATCATTAGCCAAAATACTATCAGAACACAGCTAGTATCATCAACCAATCGGCAATAGGTAAAACAAGCAGGCCATGATCACGTTCATCAATCAAGAGAGGACAGGTAAACCCATCATGAAACTACAAATATCTTTATTAACCTGGTTAAATCGAGGATTTTCTAAACGATAGGCATACGTAAGAAAACCCCTAATGGAATGACCTTAACTTTTAATCCCTGACGCTGGGAACCGTATTAAAGGACTTTTAACTAACTTTTAACCATATTGAACTTATTGGACGAACAGTTTTTAATATGTAAAAAATCCATGGTCCATCTATGTGATTTTACTGCGAGCACTTCGCTTTTCCACATAAAGCAAGCGGATTGTTCTTCCTCAACGGGTTTTTGTCTATCCGCACTGTCTAAGTTGTTTTTATTATGACAAAGTGAGAAGATGGTCCGTCCTCTCTTCTCACAATACCAATTTTATAAGTGTGTTTTAAAGTGACATTTTGATATATACGGACATTTTTATTTTTGTGTTTTTACCAATTTTCAACACAATGATAAAATACAATACATGGTAGGACCCAACTTCACCAGTTAGAATTCACCTTTTCTAGTCAACGCTAGATCGTAAGTAACCCTTTTAAAAAGTCATACGACCAACGATAAACTCAACCAAACACAAGCGCCAAATAGATGTGTTTATTAAATAGAAATAATCTTGTATATAACTAGCGCTAATCTCTTATTACTGTTAAATGGTGAAAAGACAGAAAAACTCACCATTAACCTTTTGACCTCTTCACCACTGACCCCTCGTCGTAAAACATTTCGAGGAAGCCCGCCTTGATTACAAAACAGCAAAGAAGAATAAATACAGTTACACCCCCATAAATAATTCGTTGTATATCTTCTGTATAAAAAACAACCATACCCGAACTTCAATATAAACATCAACCGAACAAAACCATATTATATGGAGACCTCTAACAAGGTTTAAGTTGAAAAGTTTGAGCAATGAGTTCTATGGGTTGTCCCTAGCACTACACTAAGTCCTAAATAAATACTACTACCGCCAGTTTGTTTCTACTAAAAAACTGTGATGTCTTTAATATAATTTTAAAGGAAGTAGTTTAACGTTTATAAACTATTTAAGCAGATATTCTAGTATATATTCAACCAGAAGAGAATAACCAACGTGATGTACCCGTGATTTATAGATGGATAAATACTTCATTTACTTACTTAATGAAATCACAGGCTAACATGTTCTCCAGCTTCTAGATTCTACTTGAATGGCTAAATTACATGGGACGTAACTCTGCTTTGTAATATTTGTCTTGTTGTTCAACTATATTTCATATTTTAAATAGTTTGTCACGTATATTAGAAATTGTATATTAAATAGATAATTTGTTGAAATAGTTTATAATATTTACACCTTTTCACACACCCCATCAACCTCCTACGCCCTAGATTAACAATGGGTAGTATCTTAGTCATATTAAAGGATGAATTAATGGTGACTGTAACTGTGTCGTAAATATTCTATAAAAGGAACTCGTGTGATATAGACAATACTTTAAAGCGTAGAAAAACTTTAACCTCTCCTAGATACAGTGAGACTAAATACAAGCCTGCGTCGGTTAAATCACCAATCGCTATGACATTAACACATATAAGTAAATATTTACAGGCTCTAATTAGTGCTTTGTTTATCGTTCATATTACATAATTCTATCATTAAAATATGTTCTCATATGTAAAGCGCATTGACGCACTTCAGTATAGAATGCCAACTATAAATGTTTAGTAATAATAAATATTATTAATATGCAGGACTGTATTTGTTCTCAACAGAAGAAGATGAGTTTATTTCAACAAGTTCTCTCCGTCTGTCCACACGGTCATCATTGATATTTTGAAGAATAAAACACCTCTACCGTTTCATCGTTTTGTATTGGTTTATTGCGCTGTAACACAACTAACAATAAACTGCCTACTAGTGGCGAGTTTTCTGTTCCATTTACATCATAAATAAATTCCATTTATAAACCAATTGTCTACAATGGATTTATCTGGCCACCAATCGGAAGATAAAAAGAAAGGGAACGAAGTGGACAGTTAAATTGTTTTAATATAATAGTCCTATTATTCGCTGTGTATAATAAAACTGCATGTGTAAATCACATTGTTTATATGTATTAAAACATTCAAAGACGGACGTTTATAATGGACAGACAGTGACATTCGTATCTGTTCATGTGTAGAGCAGATTTTTCTAACCGGACATAATTATTTTTTTTATTTAGTTATCTGGCGTAACGTATATATACAGTAGCTGTTAATATTGAATTACTGATTGACACTTGAAAGTAATAATAATACTATATTATTTATTCTCAAATTAAAACTAAAGATTGAGTAACAGGTAAAAAGCCCTGTTCTTTGTAAGAACTTTCACATATCGAAAGCTTAATTATCTACCATTCCAATTATATATCACCGACATTCATAATAATAAACATAAAAAAACAGTAGCAAAAGACGACTTTGGTGTTTTTGTTTTTCTTTTCGCTATATCCTAATTTAATTGAATGAATTTATTTTTTGAACATCATATCATTTCCATGAGTCTACGACACGTACACCTGTATCTTATTCGCTTTAAAAGTAAAGAATGTGAAATGGCTTACCTTATACGATATACACACCTGTTTTAGGTTAAATATAGTTGTTCGATAGTCACAGTCAAACCTTTTAATACATGGAAATACTATTGACGAATATATATGGGGTATGTTATTGTCATTGATCGTATGTAGATAACGTTTTAACGACATCCCTATAGAAAACCAACATTTTGAAAGGTATATAGTTATCGGCAATAAATGTAATAATCCTTCGTCTTACCTCTCATATGGTTTCCATAGCATTTTAATATGCTTTGTACGTATACCTTAAATCAACAACTGCCTTTAGCTTTTGACTCCTTTGTGTGTGCGATGTTTTTAATTTATGTAGAATAAAAGGCTAATATTTTGCTGAGTTGAAGGAAGTGCCCAAGGTTTCAATGCTATTTAAGTAAATAAATGAACGGGTTAATTTGGTTAGATTATAGAACTGGTAACTTTCTAGATAAAAGACACACGGTGGCAGAAAGCCAATAAATTCAACAATACTACGGACTGAAATATGTTCGTTTGATATTAATTTAAATCATAAAATCAAGGTTTGATACATAATACCACGGACATAAACAATATCATTAACGCCAAAATCAACTGGCGCTACAACTATTCCTGCTAAAACAAAAAACGCTTCAAGTGTAATATATATTTATAAATATGCAACGAGACCAGGTTGGTTTGGGTTTCAATATTTCAATAACTATATGCTGTCGTTTTTGTAGATACTTTACAGTAAATTTATTGATAGTTATCAATTCATCCATAATAGAATATGAACAGAGTAAATACAAGCTGTGTTATACTATTGCTGGTACAGATCAGTATTGATATAACATGACATTCATCAGAATATGTAGATCAACGCGTGCATGGTTCGACTAATTAGTTAACCCAACTGTGAAATCAAATCAAGATTACGTTATGCATTTAACATTCCTCAAATGTTTGTTGGGTTTTTTTTTAAAAAAAAACGTTTTATTTAACGATTATTATGTTGGTAAATAACCTAAGAAAATCCTAATTTCCAGGTTATCTATCCTATCCAATGATGTTGAATAAAGACCTACATTCGTTAGTGATGTTGAATAAAGACCTACATTCGTTAGTAATGTTGTTTCCGAAAGCTTTAAACAAACACTGAAAACATTATAAACTTCAATAATTATATAAATAATTATTATGCTTTTAAATCTATAGTAATATTTTCAGGTTTCCTGTCTCCCACCTAATGCTAATAAACCCTTGATAGGCCATTTTATGTCATCTCACATGTCCGTCAATATGTCCGTCCGCCTGCATGTCCGCTCACGTTTGTTTGTGGACATTCTAGAGGTCACAATTTGAATCTTATTTTGACGAAACTTAATATATATGGTAATATCACAAAGATTTTGATGAAACTTAAAATATACGTTTTCAATTGTGACAGGTATGGGACCTTCACTTCCTGGATTATTGCCCCTCACTGTACGAAGCATCGCGTTTTTGGCTGTGGACCCTCTAAGGGCAGCGATTTAGTTGAAACTTAAACTAATATATTAAGAATGAAGAGATCTTGGAATTTTATTTGATTTTAAAGACCGTTCAAATATATCGGCGCTACACCATAATGACGAATGAGGTCGAATTTCGTGAAAATCGGACCGAAACTTTCTAGCAAAATTGCCACCCCATTTACGCAAATAGTGGCAAAGCATGTAATACATATACCAAGGTTGTGAACATTTAAAGGTCACAATTTTTGTCCGATTTAAATGAAACTTCAAAATATATTTTGCGATGCCCTGCTGGAGATACGCCGCCTGCCTCTGGAGGTCAATATGTTTGTACATGGACCTTATATAATAATGTCGTAAGGTCGATGGTTTGTACGATTTCGATGAAACTTAATATATATGCCAAAGATTGTGGTGTAAATCTGACCAACCGATCCGGAGTTATGCTCCCTTTTCCGAAAACCTTGTGAACGCGATAAATACTATATATTTTTTAAAACATATTTAAAAACCAAAAACATATTTGAAGCATTGTGGTCATTGTGGTTATGCCACCTTAGCCCAAACCTTGGTGAATGCGATAGAGGCCACAGTTTTTAACCCGCACCGTCCTTTGATTGATGATACCTACTGGTTTTAAATACCGTTTGAAGATTGATAATACTTAGTGCGTAATGGTAGGTTTACTCTCTACCGTGTCTTTATATTTATCCTGTCCTGCTGCCGGTTGCTCAAAACTAAGTTATGTTAACGATTCATTAAACTCGAACTGGTCGCTATCTTGCTAACGTGTCGTTTGTTAACGGTCCGTTAAATTTCTGTTGCTGGAAAATCATTTTCATTATCCGTTATCCGTTACACTGGTAATCTATGACTTTTTGCTAAGGTATACTTCGACTAATGCCATCGTTAAACAGATAACGGAGCCCAACACCTCCGTTAAATATAACGGCAAGTTAACGGGACTCCCAGCAACAGATTTTCTCTCCGGAAAAGATAACGACCAATTAACTCCACGTTAACGAGTCGTTAAAAGTTAACCGAGCTTTGAAAACCGGCCTCTGATATTTATCGTGTAATGGTGGGTTTCCTTAGGATTTCTTGATTGTTGTTACGTATCGCTTCCTGTACGTTTTATTTACTGTTTCATGGCTGATGATATTTATCATATCCTGCTGGCTTCACTTATCATATCCTGCTGGCTTCAGACTAACTTGCTGATACTGACCCTGTTAGTTTTACCTACTATCTCGTGATTGATCTAGCTGTGTTCAGATACACCCTCAGTATCCCCTGTGTTCTCATTCCGTTCTACTCCTCTATACCCTCAGTTAATCCATAGGGTTTTTATAAGGGTAGATAACCATATTCATGTCCATTTACTGAAAGATTTATGTAAATGATGTATATATTTCTAATTCATTTATATTTAATTGTATTATCAAAATATGTAGTATGTCTCGCTGATTTCAAAAATGTATAACATCTGTATGTTTGACTTTTGTTATTATTAGTAGTATTCGTTCTTTGTCTGAAATGTTTCATTCTGTTATGTTTATAATTATTGATGTTATACTTGGCAATTTGACGCACAATGGCTTGTCTACGACATCACGTAAATGTTACTTCCCTCTGCCAAATTCCTTTGCAATTAACGATTTATAGGACTGGTCGATAAAACAGCACAATCATCACGGGCGGATGACTTGAAAACGTCCCCCCTCCGACTAGAGATTAACCCAGGGGTTAGTGGAGTAGAAGGGAATAAAACAACTGGGGATACCGAGGATGTGTCCCGATGATGTTACTGACCGTATCTTGGTTGATGATACTATGTCCTGACCGCCTATACATCAACCATTACCAACTTACCAATACTTTTCTATTATTTCGGATGCTTTTCAGCTCCCGCTTTAGCTTTTAGACATTAACCATACTACCTTCATAACTTTCTGTATGTTAACTTGTCGATTAATTGCCACACTGAGAGTACACATTTTTCTCTTTGCAATTTAAACTCCCTCTAATTTATTGATTATAATTTTAAACAATGTATTTATATATTTGTAAATATTTTCTTTCGGGATACGAACTAAGAAAAGCTACAACTTATTTTCAATGGTCTCGAGATTTTCAC